GTTGTTTGGACGGAAGGGGAGCCGTCGGCGGGAGCAGGCACTTTGACAGAGACTCCAGGCTCGTTTTGCACAGCATAATGTGTGCCTGGGAAGCGCTTTGGTTTAGGCACACAGAGTTATTTATGCCATTAATCAACGGGGAGACTGGGTGGCCGAGAGCACACACACACACTCAGACTCGCACACAGACAGAGGGGAAAGGTTATTGTGGGGGGAAGACTGCCGCTGGAGCAACCGCGCCGCATTTGCAATAACATCACTCTCTCATCGTATTTTGTACTTGCTAATCAACAATCGACTGCTAATCTCTAATTGGCACTCGATCTGCTTCACATACTGTCTCGGAAAAGTCGGGCAGGTGTTGTTTTCGCGTCGGGCCACGTGGTGGCTCGAGTAACGTGGACAATGTTCCCGGGGGGGCAAACGCACGGGGCCATAACGCCTCGTGGCCCTGAGACTGGAGTTCCAGAGTTCCAGCCCGGAGTCCCGGCACTGTCATGTCCGTTCCTGTTTCGATGTTTGCTCTGGCCAGGTTGGTCCCCGCCATAAATCAGGCACGAGGGGCCCAACGCCAACAAGCCCTTCAGGCGCCTTCGGGCCTCAGAGCTCTCCGGTACGATTTGCGTTCCGGCCAAAGTCCCCTGCGGCCCTGCGGCTCAAGCTGCAATCCAGAACCCAGACGGCCTCCTGGAGTCCTCCTGGAGTCCGGCCTACGATTCGGAGCAAACTTTTACGTACGACGCACAGCGAAAAAAAAATCGTACGTCGGCGCACAGAGTCTCAAATCCAGACATGATTCAATTTTTTGGCGTCCTTCTTTTCGTGCTGCCTGCCGACAATAGCTGATGGGATGGGAGGGGAAGTCATGATTCACTCATTGCCGAACGTAACCTCGGAATATTTACAAGAGGAGGTTTATGAACGGGACGTGCTCCAAGCAGGGAGTTTTATTCGCGTATAAATATTAATTTTCTCTTTCTGCGGTTCTATTTAGCCGTCGCGGGCTGCAGCTGTCTGTCCGCGTATGAGATACGGCCGTCGTCAAAGTCTGCGTGTTTGTTTTCCCTGCCATTTCCCTTCGGCCTCCTGATTTATGTGAAATGCAGTTCTGCCAGAATTCGTTTGATTTGGAGGACTTGGTGATGTTTATGGATCAGACGGCAAAGTTATGGCGGACTGGTTCTCAACAATATCATCAACTGCCGCACAGTAGGCGCGGCGCGGTTGCGCTGGCCAATAATAATTTTAAATGTTTCTTCTTGCTTTTGGATGAGCTATATATGCCGCGGCCCTCCGCGAATCCGCTGCCTCGCGACTGTACAATGTGTTCCTGTTGCTCACCGCCTTGCTCACCGCCTTGCTCCTCACCGCCCTCTGTAACGAGGAGCCTCTCCGACGCAGACGATGCCGGCGGTACATCGAAGGCGGTGCGTTTCTGAAGGGTGCTCGTGCCGCCAGCGTCGCCCTATTTAAGGATGCAAACCTGACGACAGCAAACTGACATTTGGTCCAATTTACTTGCTTTTTGCCGTCAATTTGGCAATGATCCGCCCTGCAGCAGGTGACGGACGGGCTGGCGCACCTGCGTCTGTTTCAATTCCACCCCTCTAGGTGGAGGCTGAGAGGGGAAGAAACGCCGAAAGGCTGTCTCGGTCGTAGAAGTCCATATGCCGTGCGATTTATTAAGGAAGGGAAGTTCAATAATTCATTAGCAAAGGAGATGTGTTGCATGTTCCTCTGAGAGGACGTAACCAGGAGGAACAAAATGCGAGACCGATACGCCCTTGTGAGTGTGTGTGTGTGTGTGTGTGTGTGAGTACGTCCCATTTATATGCGGGTCTTTATGACATATTGGCAGCTGGAACATCGTCGAACTGGCCGGTGTAGGGAACGGGTACAAGGACCGCACACACATACACACACACGCACACAGACATACACTGTATCTCTGCGAGTGAACTGGTTCATGTTAGGGCGCCCCGTTCCAGTACGTATGTCCGTACATACACACATATCGCTCTGCCGTGTACCACTTTATCGACAAATACTCGGTCCGCGACTCGAAAGCGTTCGTTTCGTTTGTTTTGAGGGTGTGCCGGGGTGTGCGCTGTTTGGCCCGTTTACGACCACCCATTAAGACACTGACTGACTGCACCCTGGACAGAGTACTGAACTTGCCGGGATTTATGTTGAACCCCCTTGAACTGTGACTCCTTGCGGTGGCGCAGCGTAGGGCGGCGCAGGGCAGCCAACCTGCCCACTCGAACGACGCATCACGCGCCGAGCTTTTCCCGCGGCGTCGCCGTGCGAGTCGCCACGGCGTCGCGCCGTCGCACCGCACCTTGTCGTTAAAACCGTTCCTTGTTTCGCAGTTGGCATCACTGTCGTCGTCCGTTGCAGTCCGTTGTCGCTGCCACGCCCCGCCACGCCCCGCCGCAACACATATTGGTTCGGCTGGCCGGGCTGGCCGCTTGACATCCTGCCAAAACGCTTTCCTCGTCTGTCCGTCGACCGCGCCGCCACGTCGCGCAGGGAACCGCCGTTAAGGGAATTGGACGGTCGACGCGTCGGCGCGCGCTGCCTGGCCCTGCCTGCGTGGCGAGGCGTCCTAACCGGGAATAGACCCGTGATCGCTGGAGTTTATGACACTTCGGCAATCAAATTCCCGATTTTATGAAACGAGAGGCGCCGACTTCTCAATCGGGCGCGGACTTGGGCCGCACCTCTGGGCAGTATCCCGCTGCGCGGCAGCTTGGCGGCAGCGCGCGGCCCAGACGTGTCTCTCCCGAAGTGTCTCCCAGCGGCTGGGGGGTAGAGACCCGAGGGTGGAGAGGATTCATTGTTTTCCCCGCCTTGCGTCCGTCGGCCCGAGCTTTCCTGCTGCAACAGCAAATGTAGAGTGTAGGTCCCGGAGCGGCGCTGCGCTGCGCTCGCGGCCGCCGCTCAGCTCGGAGCGTGTCGGCGTGTCGTGATGCGGAATAGAGATGTTTTCCAAAGTCTGGCGAGCTGAACCGCTCACGCACGCGCCGCGCCAGTCCAGGGTCCGGTGCCGCCGCCAGGCACGCTCCGAACAGCGCTCCGCCGCCCTGTCTCTCTCGCACCCCTCCGCGACGCCCCAAGAGTGCGAGAGAGATAGAGCGACGAAAGCACTGTGCTGAGCCAGCCTGGCGGCGGGTCGAGAACCCTGTCGCCGCGCCTGCCGGCCTGCCACACTGCGAGGCGTGCCAAGACACGGCCAGACGAAACGCGTTCGTCCCGATGAAATGATTTGCGTAAAACACGGCGATTAATCTCGCGCAGACGGACGGGCTCGCTTAATGAAAGGCAAACTGTCATTTCCTTCCCGTCCATTCCCAATGCACGCGCTAACTAGGTGCTGTATAATGGTCTAAGTACGAATTGAGGGGCAGCTTGCTTACAGCGGCCTTCAGCAGATGTCTTCGACTCCCTCTTTCGTCGGAGTGAGAGAGAGGCACAATTTGCATGTGGAGCACTTCACTGCTAATGGCGAGAACACACCCCACGACCTCTCCGGGCCTCTCTGCATTTCCCTAAAGACACCCCCCCCCTCTGGAAGTTATCTGGCGGGTATAATGTGTGCGACTGCGATGCGCAAAGCGCAAACCGCGGAAACGGAGCGCCGCGTCGGAGGGAGGCAGACAGAGACAGGTGATGGTCACTTCATCACGTACGGTATGAGCAGCCGAGTCGGCCTCAAGAATATAAGGTTATAATTACTTTTTTAATGCGACGTGGCGAGTGTGAGATTGTTGCCTCTCAGGTTTTTGCCATTGGTCGGCCCCGGCCGCGAACACACCATGACCATCACCGCTCCGCAGTGCTTCAGAGACGGAGCACAAATATCACGGAGCATCGGGAGGCATTGGCGAGCTGCTGAGACACTTGACCCGCGTGACTGTACGCGCGCCCCGCCCCGCCACGCCCCGACTTCTATCAGTGTTTACCCACTGTAAAGAATGGCGCCTCATAAGTCGCAGTCACATTATGCCCTGTCCAGTGTGTGTTCAGAAAACACCGGGCCAATAGGAGGGACAGAGACAGACGGTGGGTGCCGTGCCGGCGGCCGGTGCTGCAGTGCTGCCCCCTGCCGGTGTTGCACGCCATCCATTACCGGTCGCCCGTCTGTCTCTTTCTCTCTCGCACCGCCTGCCTTCAGGGGGCCGCGCGGTGTGACTGACGGAGACGGAGACTCTTTTGAATGGCGGCTGGGCTGGGCTGGGCTGGGTTTCCGTGGACTGGACGGGACGCCCCCAGCGCACCAGCGGCCCAGCGGCCCGCGTCGCAACGTGACGCGCGAGTGAGAAAGCAGCCGGTCGGACAAAGACAAATGACACGGATGGGCCGACCAGTCCCGGGCTATCCGTCTCGCCCGGGATGGCGCGATGGCACCGCGGTGCCTTTCAAGTGAAAGCGCTCTCTGTCGCTGCTTCATCCGCAGCACCTGACTGTACCGGACCGGCACTGGAGCGCCCGCGAGCCGCGGGGTAGGCAACCCAACCTACTCGCTGCGGCGATACTCCACGCACGCCAGCCGCGAGCAGCGCATGGAGTATTCCCGAGGCCATGCACGTTGGGCTGCCTACCCACCGGGCGCCTTTGACCGGCCTGCCGCTGCGCGTCTGTTCTGCTGGAAAGCACCTGTGAGGTAGGCATCCCAATCAGCGTGTTGAGGCAGTGTTTTGGCTGCGACTGAGATTTGACTTTTCCCCATTTTTGCTAATGCCTCTGCAATCTCCATTTTGTACTCTGCGGCAACTGAGTAGCTGTGTTCATGCGGTCATGTTTCTTATCCTATTGGATACCGTGACCCCTCCCTCCCCCCTTTCCTCTGTGGAATTTAGGTCTTCCCTATGATGCAGATTTCCATTTTCCCTTTCTTCTAAAATGCTGGCCAAGTAGACCTCAGCATTGTATTGAATTATTGGTTATTCTTTGTGGTATGTGGTAGGAGGAGGAAATGAAAAAAATGGTTGCAGAAATTTGGTACATGTTGGGTTTTAATTTATTTTTATTCAGAGAATAGTTCAAAGCAATGATCACTATGCTTTTCCAGAAAATTTTTTATGCAGTTTTGCTGACATGAGCCACAGCAAACATGACTGAATAAATATAATAATATGAAATCTAAAAGAAGCTTCGTACAAAATTCATCAACGCTACCATATATAAAAAGTAGTTCCTTAAAATTAGAGTTAGCGGTAAAAGTAAAGACAAATAGAAGATTGTGGTTAAAGTAGGATAGCCTACAATGACTGACTCATTGGGAAGCACTGAGAAACAATAGCCTAAATGTATCTATCAATAAATCTTAACAAAACAGCAAGGGAAATTTCTTTACAGAAAGTCGGCCGGATATATTTTATAGCAAAACAAAGTGTTTAAGAAAGTTACGACAAAAGTACAAAATCTTAAAAAATGTTTTCAGTTGAGCTTTCTCTCTTCTTGCACAATAAGCATGCCAGCATGCTGCTGGAGGCCGTCCTGGCTTCACGGAACTACTTATGCGCCTTTTTCTTGGGCAATCGCTGCAAGTAGAAGTAAAACAAAATATTTATTAACTTCAATTGGATTTCATACTGCAAGGTTTTGTCCGAATAAAAATTGACACATTACCTTCCTTGGTAGGCAGGGGGTTCTTTTCTTTGGTTTCGGTGTGCTTCAATGACTTGGGGTTGAAGTTCTCGATGCCAGCAATCAACTTCTGCTGTCCCTTCTCCTGTTCGATGGCTGCAACAAACAGGCCCAAAAGTCATTTAAGGTGCACTAACACTTGGAAAATCATTTCAAAGAAACAATTTGTTACTGTTTTTGCTATTTTCATTTTGAAGGTTGCTATGGAAACTGGGCAAAGCATAGGCAACACGCAGATTCCAAGTCAAAAAGATGCAGAGAAATCACTAAAGCATAATACCTGCAGGGTCAGGCAGAGGGTTCTTCTCCTGAGTTTCGGCGTGCTTCATGGATGACTTATCAAAGTGTTCGACACCATTCAGCAGGTTTTGGTGATCCTTCTCTTGCTTGACAACTAGCACACAAAAGAAATCATGCAGCTCAAACATGCAAAAAGGCACACTGATAAACAAAAAATTGCAAAGCTTGTCAGCACAAAGAATTTTTCATGGTAATTAAAGAAGGTAGAGTAATGAGTGGGGCCTATAAAAATTTAGGAAAAGCTCAAAAAGTATGTTTAATTTAAGCTAGAAAGTCTAGCAAGATAAAAAGCAGAGCAGGATTTGTAATATTCATACAAATTACTTCAAATTGCTACTCAAAGACTAATTCACTAAGCCAAAAATATAAATTTGTTTGTCTGAGAAGACAAGTTGTACTGATTCAAAATAAACATGTATGGCACACTGATATACTTCATAATAAGTGCTTTCAAAATACGAAAAAATCATTCAATAAAAAGGATTGGTTTGAAATTACCATCTTTGTCAGGGAGAAGGTTCTTTTCTTGCGTTTCTGTGGGTTTCAGCTTGCTCGTGTCGAAAGCTTCTACACCATCGATGAGGGCCTTCTGGGTCTTCTCTGTGGCAAGATCTAGACGGAAAGAAATAAAACAAATGCTATTAGAAACATGGGACTGGTTACAAAAACAGTGAGCCCATTACCATTTCACATGTAGATTGAAACAAACTGATAGGGCAATATTAAAAGCAAAGTGAAGTAGTTTTTAAGTTAGCAGCATTCACATCAACAACGTTAATATTGTTACAAAGAGAATACAGCCCGTTAATTGCATTTTCCTGTGAATATGCAACATTTATTTTCTTCTTCCATAGGTAGTTTTGTTTAAATATTTTTATTTTATAAAATTGTTATATCTATTTTGCACAGCATGTCCTGTAGATAATCTTGTCAATATCCATAACTTTCGTCCACAGAAGCCACCTGAAAGGATGAGTTAGCTGGTGCTGGTGTGATATTTATTGCTAGTTGCAGAACTAAAGTAAAATGCTTTACAGTGTTAAGAAGTGAATTTCATTCACATGCAATGTGACACAAAGATAAAAACAAATAAGTGTAAACAGAGGCAATGTGTTACCAAGCTCAAACATAAAAGTAGTTAAAAAGAAAAATTCATTAGGAAAACCAATTTTTTTTTTGCCAGTACATGGAAGTACAAGACTCATGCAGTGCAACCAACATTTTTAGACCACTCCAATTGGATTAAGAGCACAAATCAGTGCAAGAGCATTAAGTACCTTGTGCATTTGGTAGCACAAATTTCTCCTGAGTGGCAGCTCTCTTCAGCCGGTCAGGGCTGAAGTTCTCCACATCCTGAATCAGGTTGTTGTGTTGCCGTTCCTGCTTAACATCTATGTAAGCAACACCGACAGATCAATCACAAAACTTTGGCAAACTCTACAGCTACAGTCAGCAGAAATTTTGAGCATCATCCATAATTGGCCAAAAATCTACAAAACGCAAAGTTACAGCACAAATTTCATAGTGATGTCTCATAAGACCAGCATCGCAAACTGTTGGTGGGCATTGGGTTGCTACATTTCAAGATATGAATTCAAGCATCAAAAAGAATAAAAATCATAAAATTTTAAAGGATTGAACAAAGCTAAAAGTAACAAGTGTAACAATTACCTTCGGCAGTGGGAAGCACCGACTTCTCCTGGGTGACGGCATGCTTCATGTTGTTGGTGTCGAATCCCTCAAGCTGGCTCTTGAGGTCGACGGCCACCTTCGGGAGTTCGTTGAGTGCGGGGGTCGACATGGTTCTGCAACAACACAAAGGCAACCACGGTCAAACCAGTGCATGGTTTCGAATAATCCGCAGCTTGCCGAAGGCCCCTCCCCGTCCCCACCGCTCGGCGGGGTGGCCGCGGACCGCGCGTCCGGAACGTCCCCGTCGACCGCCAGGACCGCCAGCGAGATGAGCCGAGCCGCCACCATCGAGCAGGTTCAATCGGGAACACTTTCCGTCCGAACTCCGCGCTCCGCCTGGCTCCGCCCCGCGGACGGCCGACATGTGCGCGTTCGCGGCCGACCAGGCGGCAGGCGCTCACGACACACTTGCGCCGTTGCCGTCTCCGTCCCTCCGTCCAGTCCAGTCACGGCTGGGCAGCGCGTTTTGCGTTTTCGGACTTGCAGACTTTCGGACGCCACCGGCGCATGGCGAGGCATGGCATGGCTCGGAGCAGTACATCCATACATGGCAGCTTGGCCTGCCAGGCCTGCCATGTGGCTCTGGCTCTGGCATGGACGGGTACCTCGCACTCCGGGTCAGCACAGCCACAACGCGGCGCAGCCCCCCGCCCCACCGCCCCTGCACGCCGATTCGTCGCTCCGTCTCTCGCACCCGCACGGGACGCCCCACGAGTGCGAGGGAGACAGACAGAGCCGGCGAGGTGGTCCGCCGGCGTCATTCCGGGCAACGCAAGGCCCCTGTAACCACTGGAACGGCTTGGAACGGCCTGGAACCAGGAATGGCCGCTTCCTGCAACGCCTTAGCCGACTGCGACAATGGACTGCCGGGTGGGGTGGGTGTTCCTGGTGTTCCAGGATGAGACTGTTCCAGGCAAGCCAGGGACGTGCTCGTCAGTACCGCGAAGCGGACGCCGCGAAGCAGGGGGGCTCTCCAGGAAATGTCGCGTCGCGAGCACTGCCTGCCTGCACTGCCTGCACTGCGTGCTGCGGGACGAGGTGACGAGCCACTGGAGAGACTTCGACGTGCTTCGCCGGCGTCGGGGTCAAACGCAAGGCAAGTCAAGGAGCCAAGGTAGGCAGCACGCCAGACAAAGAAGCGCCAGCCCCGAGAAAGCCGCGTACCGTAGTGCCACCGGCCACCTGGACAAGGCAAGCAACACGACGCAGGGCTGACGTAGGACCGAAAGCGACAACGCCACACACACACACACACACACGCCGCCTTCCCACAACGGGGATACCCCCCGCAGCCTTCGAACCATTATTTACAGCCGAGGGACTTTCACTCGGATCAGAGTGGCCGGTCTAACACAGTTTACAGTGCGGCAGCACCGCAGTGACACGCCCAGATAAGCCCGGCGAGTCGGCCGAGCCGCGCGGCCCGAGACTACTGTACTGTTTATCAAAACGGCACGACAACGCAGCGCTGCACTGCGCTGCAGCCGTGGGCTAGCCAGGTGCATCGCCCCCGCGGCACGGCGGGCCCCGTCAGGGAAAGCGGCGCACTGGCGGACCGGACTGGAGCAAAACTGCAAACGGCGCCGAAAGAGACCTCCAGCGACCAAATTTCAGTCTTTTCAGTCAAATGTCGGAGTGTATTTTTTGAAAGTCCGATTGGGTGGGCGGCCAGACTGCGAGCAGCCAAGCAGCGCGGCAGTAAAGCAGGAAACGCCGACACTGCACTGAACACTGCGTTGCGTTTAGGCGCGAGCAGTAATTAGTCATTAGACGCATCTCTGTCTCTGTCTGTCTCTCTCGCACCCATGGGGCGTCGGGACGAGTGCGAGCGAGACAGCCTGCTTGATAACACTGCAGTGCTCGGCACTACTCGGCACGCGCCGCCGCGATTCCGAAATAAGAGCTTTTTTGTCGCTCGGTCTCTCTCGCACTCATGAGGCGCCCCACGCGGGCGCGAGAGAGGCAGAGCGACGCTCGCAGGGACCGCTGGCCGCCGCTGCAGTGTTTCTGAAGACGTGGAGGCAAAAAAAGGGGGAATTAGTGGAGGAAAAACGAGCAACACGAACATGATCCAGGCCCGCCCGCGTCGCTCCGTAGATCACCGGCCGGCCGCAGTCAACAAACGCAGAGGAATCCACACTGTCAGCGCGTCAGCGCCACTTTAATAATTGTTTGATTCATTACTGTGCCGAGCTTTGTTAGCGAGGGAGCAACGGACGCGGCAAAAATGAGGATTTCAAAGTTGTTTATGTCCTTTGGCGCTGCCGCCGCGGGTACACTGGGTACACCTGTAGGCGGGCAGTGCACAGTGCAGGTACCGACGCGGAAAGCGGCGCAGCGCGGCGACACAGACCAAACACTCCGCTGGCGCGTCGTCGGTGCCTACACTGCGACCTTGTCTGGGTCAGGGAGGGCGCATCCAGGTACAACGCGATAGCAGGGGCCGACGGGCCGGACGGGGACCCACTTCAGGCTAACACAACAAGGGAAAGAAAAAATAGATTGATTGTCTTGTATGCGCGTGTGTGTGTGAGAGAGAGAGAGAGTGAGGTGGCTACAGATAAAAGGACGCATCCGTTGCCATCCGCTGGGACAATGGAAGACCAGGGCGGGGCGGGGCGGAACGAGGCAAAGGGGGAAGGGGGAAGGGGGGCCCAAGACAAGCGAGGCGCGTGGGAGGGCCGAGGTGGCCGAGGATGTCCGCACATTGCTGGAGACACGCTCCACATTCCATAAACCGCACGCCGCTGGAGCAGCGGCTGGAACCGCGGCACCGCCAACAACAACAACAACAACAACAACAAGCATTTCGAGCCCGCTGCCCGCAAGCAATGTCACGCTCTCAAACTTCTAGTTGGGGTTAAGGACTTTGCGGCCTGCAGACGCCCGCAGACGCCAGTGTAGGCAACCCAACTTGCGCGCCTCTGGCTTGACTCGCTTGCCGAGCTGGACCAGCGACTCACAGCTGACTCACTGGCCACGGAGGCAATGCTGGGCAATGCACGCCAGCGCCAGAGGAAGCACTTTGGCACGGCAAGCCGTCGGCAAGCCTGGCAAAGCAGAGCATCGCCAGTTGTGGGCGTCCGAGTGTTGTTGTCGCGGCGGACTCGGGCGGACCTGACTCGCCTTCCACTCCACCGCGAAGAACTACTACCCAGCCAGGCCAGCCAGCCTGGATACTGTTTCACTCCGAAGGACGGGGTCCAGGACACCGAAATAAAAGAGAAAAACACGAAAAGCGTTCGGCTGGAGGCAAGGGTCGTCTGCCACACCAGGCAGCGCAAAGGCTTCGTTGTGGGCCCACTGCAAAATTGGCGCACGGACCAGCCAGGCAGTCCGGCGCGAGTCGAGTTCAACTCATGAACAGCGCCAAGTCTCATTAAATCGGAGCCCTACAGTGCAGGCGGCAGCCGGCCGGCCGAGAGAGAAAGCGCGAAAAACTGGAAGTGAATAACGATAAGGCGACGTGCAAGTGCAGGGCAGCGGCTCTCTCGCGCCGTCTCGCTCGCACTCGCGGGGCGCCCCGTAGCGGCGCGAGAGAGACAGAGAGCGCGCTGAATGAAGTGAGGCGATAAACCGGCGCGAATTTCTCCGCGTTCCCACCGCCGGGCACGCCTCACTGGGACTGGGGATGCAGTGGCGCCGCCGCCGTGCCGCCAGGACGCCGTCGTGGGACTTTTCCACCGGCAGCCTGGAGGAAAGTCCGCCCGCACCACCCGCAGCAGCAGCACGCCGTCGACGAGGACGACGACGATGAGGAGGACGACGACGACGAGGAGGAGTACGACGACGAGGGCGTTCCCTCCGCGGGGTGAGCCATCGCCGTCGGCGTAGCTAATCGCCAGCATGTGGGCGTGGTTGGGGGAGCGGGGGACGTCGGCGACGTCACTCTTATCTCGTTTCCGCCGAAAGGCCGCGTCGGGCACGGCCATCGGCGGCCTAGGGCCATTGGGACGGGCGTAGCCATGGCGTAGACGAGGCGCACTTGGTAAAAAGAGGCCCCAAAACCTCGGTTCCAACTGCGATCCAGCGAACAAACCCGGAGCGCTTTTGCCGGTGGCTGCACGAAGTAAGCAGGGAAGCCTCAATGTCACGCCAAAAACAGGCCCAACGCAACTTTGGCCATGCAGCCGGTGCCGCCCAAACGGCCCCTTTGTGCAAGGCGGTGCAGTGCAGCGGGCCGCGCCATAAGCAGCCGGTACTTGGCTGCACAAACATTCCCTTGTCGGAAGGCCGTGACTTTGACCAGGCCGCGGCGCACAGTCGCGCACCCAGCGCGCCAAAGCGCGCCCAGCGTCGGGCGGCGGCTATCTCTCCGTGTAAAGTCGCGCAACTCGGACCCATCGCCGCGGACGTTGCGGCGTTGTTCCGGCGGGGCGGGGCGGGGCGGCCTACTGTACGGCGGCGTGCCGCGCGGTGCCGCGTCGCAAAATACCCGGCCGGCCCACGCCCACCACACTCGCCGCCTGCACGCCTGGAACAGGAACGACATCGCCACCGGGAGCGAGCGGCGCGGCGGCACGGCACACCAGGAGAATATTCCGCCATTTATTTTCCCGGCCACCGTAACCACACACAGACACAAACTCGAGAGTGCGCGGGCGATTCGAAAAGCGATACCCGAGAACACCGCGAGGTCGCGGTGACCTCTCTAATCCGATGCGAGGGGCCTGGGCTCCTAGGCCTCAGCTAGGGCTCCGGGAGGATCTAAGGCGATCTAGAGAGACTCGAGACAAGTAGAGGCTCCACGGAAACGCGCGGGACAGCGCAGAGGCTGGGTCTCAGACGAGAGGGGTTAGAGAGACGGTTAGAGGGACTCCAGCGACACTGCAAGGGACGCCCTGAGGGAGAAAGCGGAGGGGCGGCGAAGGGCTCGTCCTTCCTGGAGAGGTCCTGGAGAGGTCCTGGAGAGGTCCTGGAGAGGTCCTGGACGGAGTGCGCCAAGTCCCGCCAAGTCCCGCCAAGTCAAGCGAGTCAGCGAGACAAAAGGAAAAGTGGCTCGGCTGAGAGGCAGTCAAGCGGCGAGGTGGCCCAGGCGGCCCAGGCCCTTTGGTCCTTTGGACGGTGCAGGCCCTACCGGTGCAGGAGTGCAAACACAGGGGGGGGGGAGGGG